TGAACATTACAATGAGTTCACTGTAATCAATCTGAAGACAAAAGGAGTCCAACCCCCGTACTAGCAGGGTGTGCTTAATAAAGACAGCGACTGCATCGTATCTGCTGAGAACTCTCTCTCTCTTTCTACACTTTTTGTGTTACAGTATCACAGTGTTTGCTGGAAGATGAGCTATGATGACTTTTTGCAGATTAGGTGGATATCACACTGTGAATATTTGTGCTCTTGTAATTATGAGTGATGCATGAGCAGTTGAAACTTGAACAGTGTGCAGCTTGTGTAAACCAGAATCAATTAAAGTAAGTGGTTTCCTTAGTTTAGAATAATAGCTTAATTCAACTGAAAACACAATGCATCTAAGGTCATCCAAATGAGTATCAGCAGTGGCATCCAATATCTACTTTTCTGCATATTTTGCTCTTGACAGTAGTAGAATATCACACATCGAGCGGGATCACCTTTCCTCCTGTGCCGGTGTGCTTTCAGGTCGCTGTGATCGCATAATACACCTGTACTTCAAAAATGGAGTGAAAAAACAATTACAACAGGTACATGTCTGTTCCCAGAAATGCATTAGGGAAACAGCATGGGCTTTCCCAAATGGACTGCATGGGCTGAGTCACTAACACGTAACACCAGAAAAATGCTATGAAGGCGCATGTGACCTATACAGCTTCAGAAGTGAAGAAGAAGAAAGTGAAAAGTAACTGCTAAGCTTTATTTCCGCTCCTGACAGAATTGAGAGTAAACGAGAGAAAACCTTCAAGGTTACGGGGGAATGAACCGCTCAGAACTGAAGGCACTGAAAACAATGGCGATGATTTCAGCTTGATTAGGGAAACAATAGCATTTTTATTTTTGACAAGTTGCCCATTTCAGCCAATTCGATTTTTATAATAGATGCCAGTAAACTGAAAAGTGATTGTTTCCACTTTGTTCAAGGTCATCTTTCAAGTATGTTTTAGACAATTTACAATAGAGAGCCTGCTCGTAACACTTGAAAATCATATATGTTGAGGGTCTCTGAGCTGAACACATGGCATCTTTGAATGCCATCTGTACACTCTTGATCCATCAAAGCAAATTGGCCATTGTGTATTCGGGGCAGGCTTTGTGCTCATTGCCACAAAGGCTGAAGAGATCCCTGATGATGGAGTTAATTCCCTCTCCTTCACTCCTCTGCTGAGACATCAGCTATTACAAATCACCCTGAATGGAACACATACTGTATCTGCGGGCAAACAGGCTGGAATAATAAGGTGCTGATAATACCTGAAGCATAATAATGACCACAGACTTCTCTGCAGCACCATTCAATAAAGTTATGTAATAGACTTTTTTTCCTCTCAGTATTACATAATTAATAAGAGATGATGACTTCCCCATAGTCATTACTTTGCTACTAATGCCTCCTAAACTGTGATCTGCAATCATTAAGTGAAAGCTAAATTATAGGTGTTGCGCTTAAAAGAAAAAAAAAAGAGAAAAGAAAGCCTATCAGTGCAATGGTGCCAAGTGTAAAGCCAGAGGTATGCATCTGTTACTTAGTGTCTGTTACTTAGTGTCTGAGATGCTGTAGTTTCTAGGTGCTTCCACTTTACATTAAAAATGAAATATCTACAAGGGAAGGGAAGAATTTTCCCAAACTTGCTGAAACAGTGACATCCAAACCATTCTTTCACAAATGTTTTTAAAGGCAGGTATGGCTAGGTGCTGTGGCAGTGGGAGTGAAAACATCTGAATTCAAAGACTTTTCAGGTCTACATTTTAAGTAATCTATTAAAAAAAAAAAAACGGTTTGTGACAAAACATCCGCGAAATGAACTGTTTGCATCAGCCTCAGCTGTACAGTGTGGGAGTAAGAAGGTTAACAGCCTTTTAAATATCAGCATGTTAGCACTGCACTTGTGAGCACGCTGTGCCCAAGAGTCTACCAGTTACTAAATACTAAAGAGTCCACTTAATTTTTTTTCCAGCTTGCACTGAGTGATGACTTAGTTGCTCAATGAAGACAGGAAAAATAAAATTGTTTTTGCGACTTGTAATTAATGCAAAATCACAAACTTTTTATCCATTTTGGCCTTTTATTTGTTTTTAGGAATCTGACACAACTTGGCTTTATGTTTGCTGTCGCCCCCCAAAACATAAACTTGATGGTTTGATTATTGTGAATGATCAGTAATGATGAGTTAAGTTGGCGACCGAGGTAAAAGTGCTCTTTCACCTTGAGTACAGGGCAAAGACTTTGCAGTCTGGGATTATTTGCTTGTGAGGTCAGGCAGGTGTCAACTTCTGAGAACTCTTATGTTGTCACGACTACCAGCCCCTGCTTAAACATCTCACTGCTATCCAAGCACTCTGTAGTTTCATATAATCTCTATTATTATCACTATCAGCTAAGAGCTTTTCGTATGCACTTACAGCAAGGTAAAAGATGACGGAGAAGCGTCAATAACTGAAGGTCAAGCAGACCGCATCACACTCCTTATTCTTTCGCTGTTTCTTAATGCACATGTCAGATAAATCTTCACAAGAATTCCAATAGCCTGGCACACCTGCATCTGAGCAAACAGAGAACTCAGTACTCTTTCACTATTTAAATACGAAGATCTATCTTAAGAATGCTATGAATGGGGACGTAACGGTAAGAATAAAAACATTCCCAAATGTGGAATTATAACAAATGATTTTGCTCTGCATTTGCTAATTATGCTCTTGCACTTTATCTCTTTTTTGGCAGGTGGTGTTCTTCAAGTATGCACTTTTTAGTTCTGATGCAAACCTGCGGCTTAGTTATAGTGATATTTATGTCCCTGTGCAAAACAAGCAGTCCTTAGAAATAGTTCTCCAGGCTTCTTGAAGGACATTTACCTCTCTTTGGATGTTGGCTGCTTTTCATTCCTTTACAAAGCCTCCACTGTGTTTTACAGAAGGCTGTAGAAACTCACTGTAGTAGACTTGTCACAACTGATTTTCAGTCCAGTTGGCTTCCAGAGACAATTTTGCTTCAAAGAACAGATCATCTGAACATTCAGCCACTAAACATATTTTTTCTGTTCACGAATGCAATAACTGTGATTATGAAATCGTGATCAAAAATAATGTGCTTTTTAGTATTTTTAAGTGTTTTTGTAAAACAATAATTATATTTTAGCATTAAAAATGCAACAGGATTTTGGTAATTACCAGTGCTGTTAATGATTTGTATATCTATATAGAGATATATAAATATTTATGCTGTAGAAACAAACTCATAAAAAGCCAAAACATTCAACAGAAAAACAGCAATAAAAGAAACAGTTATGTATGCCAATTATTTTTTTAATACAAAATTTTAAAAAAATTAAATTAAAAACATTTATTTAATTCCACAACAGAGCAGCAATTTGAGTGTAACAGTTATTCCAGCATTGGTTTAGGGATATTATTAAAAACCCAGTCATTGACAGAATCACTATAAAAATAAAACACTTTTTAAGTCTAAGATTAAAAAAACCCCAAAACAACCTGACTGAATAGAAGACATACAAAAAACACAAATAAGCATTTAAACGTGAAAGAACGGCATTTGAAGCACTGAAATATGTACCAATCAACAAAACAGTTCTTATATACAGAATAAAACCAACAAGCTAAGATATGAAATGAATTCTCTACAGCGCAGTGTTGGACTCCAGTACAGAGGGTTTACAGAGAAAGGGACGCATCAATTGAATACATACACTACTACAAGTGTATATACTGTAAGTCTATGATTTTCATCTGGACTGTGTAGTTTTCCCCAAGTGTGTCAACATTTATGTTGTTACAAATGAAATTTATAACCAGAGCATCACATTTCTGTAAAAATGCCACATACACTAACTGACCACTTTATTAGGTACACCTTGTTAGTACCAGGTTTCCCTCCAGATCTGCCTTAATTTTTGGTGGCAGAGTGAACAAGATGTTTGAAACATTCCTAAACGATTTTGGTTCATATTGACATAATAGCATCACACAGGTGCTGCAGGTTTGTTGGCTGTATATCTATGATGCCAATCTCCCTTTCCACCAGTACAGTGAACTCACTATCATGCTTAACAAACAAGTTTGAGACTTGTGCCATGTTGCATTATAGTCCTAGCAGCAGCCATTAGAAGATGGATACACTGGGGTCATAAAGGGTTTGACATGGTCAGCAACAATACTCAATACAGCAACAAGAGGCCCAAAGTGTGCCAAGAAAATATGCCCCACATTAATAAACCAGCAAGGCAGGATGACTCAGCGCTTTCATGACATTCATGTCAAAATGCACAGCAGACTCAGACTCAACAGACCAGACGGAGGGTTTCCAGTCTTCAATTGTTCAAGTTTGTTAGGCCATGTGAATTGTATTTTTGGTTTCCTGTTCTTAGTTCACATGAGTGACTAGAGATGTTCTCCTTTTTGAAACACTATTGTAACTCACGAGATGGCTGTGTGGGAAAATCCCAGTAGATCCGTTTCTGAAATACTAAGACTAGCCCGTCTGGTGATGATAACCATGGCACATTCAAAGATGCCTAAATGCACTCAGCTGGCCGTGAGAATGCCATCTCAATCATACCCGCATTAACAAGCAGCTGAACAAGCGTACCTAATAAAGTGACCAGTGAGGGTATATTCCCTGTCTAGGCAAACTCTTGATATGTTCATCATTAAGTAAAGGTCTACCTGATCAAAGTAAAAACGATTAAGCTGCCTAAATTCAAATTTATGATGATTATTCTAAGAAATTATTATTAAAAAACGAAACGCAGCAGTGCATTGTTGAGTCAGCATCATTAATTACATCTGAATATTCGGAGCACCAAGAATATTTTGATACAATATAATTGTCTACCAATCTTTCAAGACCACTTGAATTTCATCTATAAGATTTACCAAATGTTAACATCTGATAACCTGTTAATACTTTTCTAGTGCATTTTACTACTGTTGCTACTTGCATTTTCAGCTGTTTTGGATCTTTGTAACCATACAAAGTACCAGTTAATGAAATCTAAGAAAAAAACAAATCACGATTAATAACTCTTTAGGTTTAAGTGGATCATAGTTTAGTTCAAGTTTCTTATTAAAACAGAAGCGTGGTAAGTTCACCCCCTGCATTTGCTGCATGAAGCCTTTGCTTCCGTTTAGAAAATGACCTATTAAGAGGAAAATCTCTTATAATCCTTCTATAACTTGAGTGAACAGGCTCTTTAATTCATCATCCTTGTTTACCATCGGCTGCAAGGACTAATTTTTTTTTTTTAGTAAAAATTGTAGTGGTTAATGAAGAGCGCTGTAATTGTGGTGAGAACACCATTATAGCCTCACTCCTCATTTTGCAACTCTGAGGTTAAGATGTGTAAATGTTTTAGTGGTAGCAGATCATGCCCTGAAACTCCAGCTTCTCTGAAAAGGCTGGAAGGGTTTCTTGATGCTGAAGAACATAAGATTAGGTTTGAGTCGTGGGGTTTTCTCGGGTATGACAGCAGCTTTGCTTTCTTCAGTGGGAAATCGACTATGGTAGACTTCAGGGTAGGACTTCTGAAACTGCAATGATGGGAAATGCATCGTTATTTTACAGTATACACACCCTATAAGAAAACCGACATTGTTTTGGATTTTAAATTCACATTCCTTCTAGACCTTAATTTGATTAAAATTCAAGAGAAATGTCATGATACTAGTATTTAGTACCACAGCCATACCACTCAAATAAATATATTCTGACTTAGATCTGCAAACAAAGGCACACATTATTTATTATGTGATAGACTAAAGGTAATGTTTGACTCGATGAGCGGCACAAAGCCTTTATTTATTTACTTTATTAGTGTACGGTTAGCCTCAGTAAAGGTTATATATAGGGCATTGACATCTATACAAAAGCTATAGATACTCAGAATTATTTCATTTAAAAATTGTGTCAAAATCAAAAGATTAAGCCTACTACGAGTTCTGAATACATATCCTATCTTTATGAACTGAAGTTAAAGTTGAGGTGTTACCTTATTTTTTGCTAACAGCTCTGTGACATCAGCTGCTTTTAGTTGTATATAACTTGTCCCTGATCATCTGACCAGGACGCAAAATATGATCAGACACAGAGAAGTACCAACAGACCTGTTCCTGCACCTGACAGTGCCATGTTGTTTCACATTAGCATCCTCTCCAGTACTTACCGCATCTATGGCAACAAGAGTACTACAGGAAAACGAATAGAGTGCAATCACATCTTTCAAGGTCTTTGGAGCGAATTGATTCTGACGCATTCCTAAAATTCAAATGGCTTTTACATAAATGCTTGTAATTTGTTGTTTGAGAGCAGCTTGGCTTTCCCCTCAAAATCTAATGAGACAGATCCAGTTGAATCTAGCTCTAATGACATCCTTGGTGTGTAGGCATACCTGTTTTAGTCTTTTCCTCTTGTCTTTAGCGGGGAGTTCTTTGTCTGCAATCAGGCCTTCTAGCAACTGCTGCAGCGGGGTCTGAGTGCCTATCACCCTCTGCCCCTCGCACTCCACCCTGCTGATCTGCTTGTAGAAAGCTGGAGATGCACTGAAATCTGTATCAGCCCCTGCATATTTGATCTGATGGAAGACACAAAGACACAGCAATACATTAAATTTTTTTTTTATAGTTATAACAGTGTGGGACAGAGGCCCATTGATGGAGTAAAAGATAATAATGAATTTGGGCCTTCATCTGATGTTGAACACGTACCATCAATATAGTCTTCATGTACTAAAGTACGAGCCAAAATTAATCATATACACACCTAATATGAATCAACTGTGTGCACACACTTATAAGTGAAGCCCCTCATCATCAAACCAAGCCGATCAAGAGCACAGGGACAAAGTTTTACAGAAAACTGTCCCGCAAGGTCTGTCTCTGTCACACAAGTGGCTCCTCTCTTTGTTCAATGATCAGCTTGAAACTGCTTTTCAATTTCCCTCACACAGTGCTTGATACAAAACAGCTGTGGCCATTCTAATCACTAGTATAAGTTGTAAACCCCATCAAGATGAAAAATAAATCACTCATTTCTTGTGTTGCCTTTGTTCCCTTCTGTTTAAATCTTCAAATTAAATCGGTTGGGCTCTGGTTAATATAACACTAAACTTAATTTCAATTTCATTGTGACTGAATGTGTACCAACCTGTGCTCTTTTGAGGTGGGACAGATGCTCTTCAACTTGGCAACGCAGCTTGGCAGGCACCTGGAAGATGGTGTTGTGATGCTCCATCATGAAAGTCACCAATTTGGTGGCAAGTAACTCATCCAAGTCCATGTCGTCTGCTGAGCCAAGAACGCACTGAGAGAACATCTGCACCATCTAGACAGACACCACAGTGAGAGTTGGATAAGGGGGTCACTGCCAGTGAAAGTATGCTGCTTACGCTACAGCAATATTGAAGATTTATAAAATATGTTAAGCACCCATCATAAATCCAAAGTAATAAACATCTTTGTGAAAGTTATATTGTGTGAATTTTACATGCAGGCAGTGTTAAAGACACAGATTTTTTTGGGTTCATTATCTTGCTAAGATGAAGACTTAATAAAGTGATACACTACTATACGGAGTTATAAAATAAAAACGATATAATACCCTTTTTCATTAAGTTTTTAACTGGCTTCACTTGCAGCATGTTGTTATGAAGAGTGTTTTATAAAATCTTAAATCTATAAAATCTTTATATGTGAGAGGTCTAATGTGCCTGGGGGTTGTTGCAAAGTAAGACAAAATAATCATTATAATGACTGCACTGAAAAACACTGAACTTGTGGAAATAATACACCCACATCAACCTCCCTGAAATCCCCCAGAACTCCCCCACTCTCACTGAAAAGCAGCTATTAAGCAGCCAGACTTTCTACAGTCCATTTCCATGTTTATAGGCCTATCACAAAAAAAGTGTTGTATATCTACCACATATGCAATTTTGAGTCTTTTTAACTTCTTTTATTCCCTTTCGTTATTAAGAATAAAGGACTGTCCAAATCCCTGACAATATTGCACTATAGTCCATTTACTCTTTACTCTTTTCAGGTAACAATGATTCTGCACAAACTGTGTTTCTAAAGAGCTTCACTCTCTTCATCCCTTTTCCTGGTACCACACAGGAAGCTATGGGAGAATGTATTCTCCTTACCATAATTCATCACAGCCTGACAAAAATATAGGTTTCTTTCTACTTTTACACATTTCAAGATCAAAGCTGTCAAATAGTCAATTCCAGAATTCCAACCAAACATGTTTTAATCATTTCAAAATTCTGATTGCAAATGCGTTATTTTTTTCTTCAACTATAGTAGGCAATATACCAAATGTACCAGAATCATTTGACAAGAAGGAATGGTAGAGGCAACTGTAGGCGATGGACAAAAGCCAGTAAGCAAATTGTAACAAAGTGCATTCTGAAAAGAAAGCGTACAGCATAAAAATTAATACCTCAGACTTACCCAAGTAACTCAAAAATATGCATCAGTGTGAGTTATTAAAATGTTGTTACAATGTTCACGCTCATATAACAGTTTTACAGTTATATGAATTATCACAGTTGTATCTGTTTTATTACAACATGAGCTGGCACTCTGTGCAATATTATATAGAAATATCTATAAAAGAGTGTGTTGAAATAAAGTGTTTTTACACATGAACTAGCAAAATCAGTTACATAGACTTTATAGCAGGGAGCTAGCACATTAAGGAACATTTAATGTCCTGATCTGATGGAGTCAGCTATTTTCATTCTTTCATGTACCTCTGTCAGTGATATACTAGTACAGTTAGGGGCTCAGTGCGTGCATGAAAAAGACTATACCTCCATTTGCTTGATTTATATTAGCAGTTGGAAGTTGAGGTACATGTATCAACGAATCTATGGTTGACATATATGGTTATAACCTTTATGAAAATAGAATTATCTGCTGGACTATTAAATTTCCATTATGTAACAGGCTCATTTGTCCTCCTATAATATATGAATACTGATTTAAGAGCTTTTACTAAAACAATGGACTTAGTTAACCTGCCAAAATGGTACAAAGTGAAATAAATAAATTGTAGGATTATGTACCAGTGTGCGGGTAGCAATCGTGTCATTAAGTGGAGGAAGCTGGGGATTCTGACAGACTCGGGCCATGAGACGCAATAAAAGCTGGAGGCGTCTTCGGTTGGGTGGCGGCAGAAGGAGACAGCTTACTTGAAGAGCCTCACTGGCTGCCTCCTGCACTGGCAGCAAACCTGCAGTGATATAGTAAAAGGTAAGTCCAGCACTGGAAGGGTAAACTTAGAGGTTAGCAAAACAAACACCAGAAAACAGCAGTGCAAAAACACTGTAGTGAATCCACGTTGTGAGGCACTCACTGAGAATGTTGACAAATACTTCATACAGATGAAAAGTCAGCAGGGGTTCTTTAAGTCTCTGGTAGTAATCTGCTACTGTTCTTAGAACATCCCTCTCGAAACCTGGGTACACTGGCTGTTTGCTTTCATTGCCATTAGGCCCTGAGAAAGAAAACAAAGACAGATTTATGGCTTTTCACAAGGAACTGTGGAGGAAAGTTAAATACACACACAGGCTTTGTAAAAAGACCCCTAAAAATGACAAGTGCTTATGGCACTAAAAGCCCAGAGAGAAATATCACCTGTCAGAAACTCATTAACAATATAAAATAAAATGAAAGTGAAATCAATTGTACAGAATGATTCTTCTTCAATCTTACTTATGGCAGTCACACACAATGAACCAGTCCCAAGGTAAAGCTGCTTTTTCCTTTCGTTCTCTCTCTCTTGCTCTTTTTTTTTTTTTTAAAACAAGAATCATTTAAGGTCAACAGAAAATGTATACTTACAGTTAGCAAGGCATTTCATTGCAGTTACCACCCAGTAGGGCATGTCCTCTAGAAATGCAAACAGAATAGGTGAATTATAATCATACAGCAAGTTTCAACAACAAAAAAAGCAATAGTTCTGGGAACCAATGCAGCATACCAGCTTTGTTCTCCAATACAACTATGCCTGCTTTATTGACACTGAACACATTGTGAACAATGTGCTTGCCATTGACATGCGCTGGGTTCAAAACGCCATCCAGTGTCTTCAGACCCAGCACTCGCTGCAAACTAAAACAGGATTAGAATTAAACCTCCATACAGCACAAACAATGGAAGTGATGAACAGGTAATGTACAATAGTAACATACTGTGCCACTGTCATTGACTTCCAGATGTGATCCACTTGTTTTGATGTTATCTCCTTCCTGCGTATAAGCTTGCATTCATGCACATCTCCAATAGCAACGCTGTGCCTTTTATTCCACAAATCTGAAGTCTGATTAAAAAGGAAAATGAAAAAGTTACTTTCAAAGTTAAATTGAGTAAGCACTGTGAAAGGAACCCATGAAACTGTGCTACAATCAAACAAAAGCTATACTTACTAACTTAAGTTTAACTTCATGTCAGAGGTCTGTTAATGAAAACTGAATCCAACCATAGATGTTCATAAAGTAAGTTACGTGCAATAATTAGAAATGACACAGGGAATAATTATTGTACCTGTTTACTGATATTTATTTAACATTCATTTTTGTTTGTTTGTGATGCCAGCTTCAAGACACCTTCTGTATGTTACACCAGTGCTGTATATATAAATATCTATAGCACTGATGTAACATACAGGAGGTGTCTTGAAGCTGAAGAGAAACAGGATGTATAAAAGGAGCTAATGAAAGCACATTTGGGCTAGAGCATTTCTTTCTCACCAGGACAGCAGACTTCACGGGTACAAAGTTCTCCTGCTGAGGCAGCTCCTCATAGTCATCCCAGCGGATGAGTCTGGGCAAGTCACTGCAGTCTTTTATTACAGGCCTTGCTGGAAAAGACTTGAGTGGAGACAGTGTTGGGAACCTGGAGAGACAGTCAATAGTACTGGGCTCAGTTAAAGAGGTAAAGAGATGGACTTGCTAAACAGAGATGAACTGTATTGTGGAAATGCATCAGTGATGTCTTCTAATATAAAATAAAGAAACAAACCAAAAACAAAGAAGCTATGCAGGATGACAGAGGAGCACCTGTACAAATGGCCATTGTCCTCAAAGTCCTCTGTCCCATGGCGGCCTTTGACATCTTCAATCACGTGGGCCTTGAGGAACTTTCTAAGCAGCTGCAGGGTCTGGTAGCGGGTTACCTCAGGACCAAAGTTGTGATTGTCCCTCAGCAGATTATGCAGATAATCCACAGCCTCGGTTCCCGTGAAGCTGCAGTCATAGCAGCGAAAGTGTGCCCAATGCCTTCTAAGTGGCATGCCACCACGAAAAAGTCTGATAGTTTCATTCCACTGCATAACAGCAAAACACAGAATGTGGTGAGAAACGCTGAAGAGTGATATTATCTGATATTTAACAACAAAAATGTAACAGCAAGTCTTTTTGATGACAAATTGAAAAAAATAAGTTTAGTCTAAAACACAGGCTAACATCATTCATGGAATACATTAATGTGATAACAGCATTTTATGCATTCACCAAGTTCAAGTGCTCACGGACACTTCAATACCGTTTTTAGTTATGCTTTTATACGATGTTGCCACAGCAGAAAATCTGCATGCATGATGCCCATTAGTTACTTTAAGATGGCAGTATCAGCCATACACAGGCAGGTATTTAAATAGCAAATGAAGAACAGACACTGATATGGTTAACTTTCTACAGTCCATTTCCATGTTTATAGGCCCTGCTCTGAAACTACTCTAACAACTCCATTATCCTCCTGTTAGGGAAAAAAAAAAAAAAGATTTACTTATCAAAAATAAATAAAACACTATCTTATCATCGTGTTTTGGGATGCATTACCATCATTGTGTTACACTGTGTAGATGTGTGGGAGAAAAATAAAAGGCTTTGAGCTTAGATAAAAGCAGAGAGAGAACAAGAAAGAGGGAGGGAGAGAGAATTAGGCGACACAAGGTCTTTAATACCTGGAAGAATCCCTGCAAATAGAAACCTTTGCCCTGGCTGGTCTCAATCATGAAAAAGGTTTAAAGTAAAGGAAAAGACAGAAAATCTTAAAAAACGAAAGCCAATAAGCTCGCTTGCAGACTGTTTGAAAGAGAGACATCAAAAAAGAAACTGGTGAAGGAAGAATGCTTCTGCAGCAGGTGGAAAGCTAGCTGACAGTTTCTAGAAATTCTTTTTGCAGAAGAATTAAAATAAACAAACAAAAAACAAAAAAACTATGCGATTCCATTGTGTATTTGTGACCTGTCGATAAATGAGAATGAATTTCAATTAAAAAAATGATCCAAATACCCCATGGCAGAAATCTGATTTACAAGAGTTAAACCAAAGAGCCAGCAGCCTGGATGTCATTGAGTAAACAGGCCAAGGCTAGTAAAAGCCTTCCACTGTGTTCAAACTCAAAAAGGTTTTTCTCTGCAACCCTGGAAAACTTTGATTTTTCATCGCACTTTAGTGGTCTTTTCTGACTCAGATATGTCAAAGAAAATAACAGGTGTACATGAAATTAATGACAGCTCAACTTCATTTGTCTGCTTCTGTTTCAGTGCCCTGCTTTTAATGGGGAGGCACACTGAGGTGGGCGTTTGAACAGAAGTAAGAACCGAGGGGTTAAAACTGTGCTCCCAAAACAGTGGATATTTTAAAATACTTGTTTTGGACTTTGGGCGTAAAAAGTGATGACATTAAATGGCCTGCATTTGTATAGCGCTTTTCTAGCCCCTAAGGACCCCAAAGCGCTTCACACTACATTCAGTCATTCACCCATTCACACACACACATTCACACACTGCTACATTGTAGCCACAGCTGCCCTGGGGCGCACTGACAGAGGCGAACAGAGATTAACAGCAAACTGTGTTGTGTATCGAGCTCTTACACGAAATAAAGAGTGCCGAGTGTGTTTGTGATAAGTAACTACATATAATATGCAAATTCACCAAATCTACGTGTACTTAGTTTTAATTTAGCCTCACTCTAAACAGGCTTGTAAACGCTTATAAACCTAACTGATAACGCGAGAGCTGTTTATTAGTTCAATTTACGACTCGGTTACATTTGTAAGAACGCAGTTGTTTTAAATAGTTAAGCCACACACGAAAAACTACCTAGTCTCTCCATTTACATTAAGTTAAAGCATTCCAACGTAACGTGCTTTAGTTCACAACACTCACCAGTTTCGTCGCCCTGTATGGACCCGGTCCAATAACTTGGTTTTCCATTGTAATAGTAAAAACCCCGCTTCACTTGGACACCGACATGGACACAGTTTTCTTTTTTTTTTCTTTTAAGCTTGTCAAAAACTTAAGTAGAAGAAGAGTCTCAGCAGAAACGTTGCAGGCAACTTTGAATCTCGTGCGTCACATCAGTTCTACAACGTGATTAGCCAGCGGTATGATCACGTGACCAATTGTAGCAAAGCGTTTGTAAATAAATGTGGCAGCGCAACATTTTCCCTGCCCCCTAAAAAACCCCGACACAGCCACTTAGGGTTGATAAGAGGAGAATAGGACTATTTTTTAGAGTATTTGTTTATCTTCTCTCTAAAAACATTTGCCAATTAAATTTTAACTACATGATTTGCTTATAAAACTTTTGTGTCACCTCAAGACGACCACCTCGATTAATTACGGAACTATTACTACTATTGGTGAGTAACTGATTGTAACAGTTGCCATGCTACTTGCTTGCTACTTATCCCCCAAAATTGTATATTGAATGTACACGAACTCGGGAAAGACAAGCAATTTTAGACAATTATGAAACACATACTGTTTAACTTCACACAATATTTTCTCAACAACGACCATTTGTCTGTATATACTGCTACATTATTTATTTAAATTTATTTTATTCCTTGTCCACCTGTCCTACTTCTTGAGACAATGTCCCATATTACTGGTTCTGCAGAACATTAACTTTTCTAAAGTTTGGCTTTTTGGCACTTTTTTCTTATTTTTTATTTTAGTCAAATTAAGTTTAGCTGGTCTAATGCTGTTCCCAAAGAGTGAACGTTACCAAAAAGTTAGAAGCTTTGCAGATTTTGATGAATATGATGGACATTGCCACAAAATAAAATTAAATAAAACAAAGTGTATATATTGAGATATGTTTTGTTTTTGCTGGTATCATTTTTCAATTTCGCACAGTAAAAACATGTGGTGTGAAGTGAAATAGTATGTGTGTTTGAGTCATAATTGTCTAGAAATTGCAAGTCTATGGACGCCTCCCTGCTGAATTCTGAATCTTACACTGAACAGCAGCTGAAATAACAGTGAAATAACTGAGAATGCAAGAGTATATATAGACCATCACATGGGAACATGAAACTAAACTTCAGTTTCCTTTTATTCTTTATGTATTTATATAGCAAGATGTTTGAAAAAGTTCAAATATAATACATTTACTACTTCCCAACATTGTTAACATGTCCCGCTTGCCACACACAAACACAGTGTTTGAGTTTGTGGGGATCTGGTCACCCTAACTGGTACATTTGGTGTTTCCAGTTAGCCTATTGGGAATTCAATTGCAGCAAAAATGTATAATACTCCATGTATTTTGGGGAGTTTGCTAATGCATTTCTTGAAGGCCAATAAGATCTTAATACTTAAGACAAGCTGGTGGCACAGTTATTTATCCAAAACCATGCTACAGGTTTTGGGATACACTGAAGGCTTGTCATGGAGCCATAAAGGAGATTAAAGAGGATGAAGAAAAGTGTTAATAATTGTTGACACGTCCCTTCTTCAAATCTGTGAAGTATCAGTGTATTTAATAATTCAAACACTCCCCAGCTTCACACAGGATGGCTGTACCACTCCTTTAATATGCTTTGGAAAATTTCAAATAAAATCTAAATTTAAAATAGATTAGAACCTACAAAGCACTGTTCCTTCAATCGTGATCAATTTCTTACAAGGAAATATGAAGAAAAAAGTTTATACTTTACTGTGTATCATATTTGGGGGTTAACAAGGGTAACATAAAAAAGTACTTATGCTTTTTTCCTTTCTTTGTATTGTATACCATCCATTTTCTGTTATCAGCAAGGCAGAGGGAGAGATAAGTGGCAAGAATTCAAGGCCCTAATATATAACAGTGCTTGCATCACTACTGCACCAAAGCCACAGCAACTAAATCTCTGTCACCAAGCTGCTGTGCAACTCTGATAAGATTTTTATCAGTTGAGTTAGATTTTTGCAAACCATATGTGCAGAACAATGATGAAAAATGAACTAATCTATTAGTGTGGCAAATATGTCAAGATGTGTTTGCTGCAAATTTGCTGCAATGCTCAGAGTGCCGAATGATTTTCCATGTTAGAATCCCGATTCACGTATAGTAAGAGAAACCATTGGTTTTACTGAACAAGTTAAAAAATTATTATTATATTCAGCAGGCAGCAGAAATCTGGCACAAAAAAATATCAGAAGGGTCAAGGGAAAGCATCAGATTAACAGGGACAGTCAATTGGCACATTTGAATGAACTCGGACAGTGAAAGTGTTGTGTGACTACAAAAAGAATCTGAACAGCTCTATAACTGAAAAAAAAAAGCTTAGATAAAATGGTCCTGGCATAATCATTGATGTTTTATCATTTAAAGTACTGCATTCATTATTTTCTATTATACACTATTCTCTACACATTACAGTCAGCCATAGATGTTCGATGGCAGTGCAGTCAAGCCAAAGCTAAAAATACAGAAGGCTGGGAAAGAGTTGACAGTTAAAGGTCAGCAACCGAGCAAATGCAAATAGCCTGATGTTTTAAAATTTGTGTAGCGACCTTAACCAGCTGAAAGAGTTGTAAAAAGTTTGGAGCCCACATAAAGGCACTGGCATCGTGACTTTCATAGTGCAAGGAGGGATTTTAGATGCCCTAAGTCACAGTGGAGCCTTCTGGAGGTGTGTCGACATTAATAACTCCAGTGACAGCCCATGGTTCACTTTCAAAACCAGATTCCATTTCATTTGAGAAATGTCTCTCCTCACCTTGCTTTGGCTCTAATGGCTTTAACGTCTCAGTGAAATGTCATGGCAGTGACATTTAGGACAGGTAGAGTTTGCCTTCTCAAACTAGACTGGAGACCAATGCAGAACCAAATGAAATAAGGCCGGTCATTATTGTCAGTATTTATAGAGCAAAGGAAGTAATTTTATCTGACCTGAGTAAGACTAGACTGTCACTGACAAGACCCAGCATCGGTAACTTACATTATATCACGTGTGACTGCTATGATTTCAAGTATAGTACTATTTCATTTTGATGCAACATAAATCAATAAGAGAAGAAAACAACTAACTTTAAATACTGACCTCTGCTGTGTTACTAACTTTGCCACCAAATATATTATGAAAGGCAAGCCCTCTCCATTTCTTTTCACAAACAGGCCAAAGACATTCAGGGATATTATATGGACCTTTTTTTTTCAAGTTCAGCCCCAGAATTGTTTTTTTAAGACAAAAATGTGTATGTGTTAAGCTTCAGATGACGGTCATGTCACAGGTCTCTTGGAGAACATATCAATTGATAATAAGTTGCACAGAAGCATAATGCTGCCATGATGTTTAGTGGAAATGATGCTGTTCTTGGGAGAGGAATTGCAGTTTTACCAAATTCATCATGATTTTCTTTTACTTAACTCTGGGTACTGATGGATGTTTGCTAACTTGGAAATGTCCTTTCTGTCCTTTCTTCTCCTGCCTTCCCATCGTCTTTCAATGATATTGCTTTTATAGTAAGAGTTTTTCCACAATAACCAATCATCAAAGGTTGGACACTTCAGTAATGAGGTCTGTATTGACTTTGATGCTCTTTTACTGTTCTTTTACTGTTGTGTCAATAGTGTCCACAGTATTTTTAATATTACAACGAGATATCTTTTGGAGAAAATAGATAGATTTATCAGAAACATTACACCAAATCAGAGCAGTAAATGATCAAGCACTTTGATTTAAACCATTTTATGCTGCAGGGAAAGCTCTGTTCATAGCAATATTGGCTGCAGAGACTTGCCAGACATATATTGAAGGGGTATGGACAACACACAAGCCATAGGATACTTTTACCAGGCAGGTTAATAAAAGCTAAAAGAAGAGCAAGGTGCTATGGTGGACTAAAAAAACCCCCAAAACAAAACAAAAAACAAGAAAAAAGGAATCAAATCAACACATCCCGAGACACCAGCACACTACAGTTTGCAGCGAGCAGTGGTAACACAATTATTGGGAAACAGAGGGTGAGGTTTTGTCAGAATGTAATGATTGCTTACTTGTGTTGATTGCACATGACAGGTGTTTCTGGGACCTTTTTGCAATGATGGCCCGCACACACACACACACACACACACACACACACACAC